AAACCGTGGGAAGCTGGTGTGTGTTGGGAAAAGTCATTACTTCCCTTGTCTGTGCCCTGCCGACAATGACTCCAGCAATGAACTCGAGCAAGCCTGCAACAGATCCAAGTCCCCATGCCACCTCCAGGCTATGCTGGCCTGTACCCCACTCCCCTAACACCCGCCAACACACACACACACACACACACACACACACACACACGCAAGGAGAGACAGTCTTGGCAGTTTGACCCACTAAACCCAATAAACAGAGAAGTCTACTTCAGGGGTTTCCCTGTGCCCTTGCTTACACAGATGATTCAATAGTAAGATAGATAATCAGAACTTTCTGGGGGGTGAGACCCTTCTCTGGTACCGTAGCTTCATCCTGCCTCTCCCCCAGCGAGGGACCCCTGGTGGGACACAATGCTTTCAGGGCCATCGTCTTCATCATCCCTGCAATAACTGGTCATGCGGAAGGAGAGCCGCTGATGGGTTCTAAAAGGCACATTTTTTTGTGTGTGTGTGTGCTTTCTCTATTTCTATTTCAAGTTAGAGTAACTGTCAATTCTTCAGCCATTAGCTAAATCACCTCTGCTTCGACGGAAGCAGAGCCCCGGTTAGAAAAGGAAAGGACCAGAGTGAGACTTCCAGACCTTCTGCCGTTAGATGCTGGGGACAGGGACATCCCTGTGAGAGGGCGAGTGGTCGAGCAAGCTGTGGTACATCCACACGGTGGAACGCTGCTCAGCTCTAAGAGGGGTGACACACCGAGGCACGTCACAGCTGGTAGAATCCCCAAAACACTGTGTTATATAAAATGAACCAGTCACAAAATACCATATAGTGCCTGGCTCATTTATAAAATGCCCAGAGAAGTAAATACAAAATACAGCCTAGTGGCTGCTAGGGGTGGGGAGGAAGGGAAAGGAGAGTGATTTCTTAGCGGGTATGGAGTTTTGTTGGGGGGGGGGTGATGAAAAAATTTCATAACTACATGGTGATGATTGTGCAGGGTTATGACTCTAATAAGCACCACTGAGTCAAACATTTTGAAATGATTAATTTCAGGTTATGTGAATTTTAATGTACTACTACTACTACTACTAATAATAATAATAATACTAGGAATAAAAAGCCCAACTACAGACGCCTTCCCTACTTTAGGCATATTTTTGTATCAAGGGCAACTGTCTAAATATAACAGAAAGTTTGAACATAATGGTGCTATAGTTTGGGTATGTCTGCCAAAGACGCATGCGTTAAGGACTGCTTGCTCCCAGACGGATACTATACCAGGGAACAAACTACAGGAGGTGGGGCTTAAGGAGAGAACCTTAGGTAACTGGGAGCTATCTTGGGCAAGCTGGAGAAACGGCACCGGACGCTTTCCCAGAGGACAAGCTACAACTTTAACTCCAGTTCAGGGGATCTGATGCCCTTTCTGGCCTCTCGAGGCACCGGGCGCCACGTGGCACACAGACATGCACACAAGCAAAACAACCTTCTACACGAATAAAACAGCGACCAACAAGCAGTGTGACTCCGCCTTTCCTCTGGTTCTCGCCCAGGTCTCTGATGTGAGTGTTGGCTTCCCCTCACACTTGTTACCAGGTACCTCCCCTTCACCAGAGGCCACACTAATCTACCCAAACTGTGAACCAAATACAACTTTTCTCTGTATAAAGTTAGTTGGGTTAGACCTGGAAAAAACAAAACAAAACAAAACAAAACAAAAAACCAAACCAATTCCATGATTGTCTGAGGAAAGCAAGCAAGCTGTATTTAGAGCTGGCCAGCCAGCTGCCTCTCCCAAAGCCGGGCTTTCAGAGGGCAGCCCCTCGCTGGGTTTTGAAGTCCCTTTCACGGGGAAGGGTTAGCGTTGATATGGAACAGCTGCTGAGGATAATTGGTTGTTAGCACCTGGACAGAATAGTGCTGGGGGGGGGGGGGGGGGGGAATGCAGGACTCCAGGCTACTGCCCATGGAGTAGCTAAGAGCAAGGCCACATGACATGGAAGGGGCCTCAGGAAGGTTTCTGGGTAGACACATTTTCGTTAGGCGAAAGGGCAATCACCTCACAGGTGCAGGAGTTTTCCACAAGGGGTGGCCATGCATCATGGAGTCACATGTTATTTCAGGATACATTAGGCTTAGGAAACAGAAACTTATTCTTGTAAGAGATGTCGACTTAATAACAGCGTCTAACAGTGTGGCCCCTTAACAACACAACATCTGACTGGTTTCACAGCAGCCTCTGATAGTTTGCTGTAAGAACGCTGGCTAATACAAAGGATCTGGGACAAGGGAGGTTTGTGTTAGAACTCGGTGTTGATGTCTCTCCGGATTCACAAGTTAAAAACCCCAACCCTTAATGAGACCGGGGGTGGGGGGTGGAGGGGGTGTCAGACAGTGATTAGTTCTCAAGGGATTAAGTGCCTGTCATGGTTTGAATCTGAAATGCCTTCCAGGGGCTCATCTGTTGGAATTCTGGTCCCCAGATGGTGGCATTATTTTGGGAGGTTGTGGAGCCTTTAGAAATTGGGGCCAAGCTAGAAAGGTGGTTGCTGGGGAGGGGTCAGCCATTAAGGGATTACATCCCTGCCCTGCATTTAACGTGAGCATCTATCTCCTTCCCGATCCCATGAAGGCTAATGTTAGCTTGACAGGACGGTGAATCCCACAAGATGCAAGACCGTGGTCAAGCCTGGGAGGTGTTAGTTGAACGAGGTTAGTGGAGGTGGGACGGTCCACCTTAGCTATGGTGGTGCCGTTATGTTCCTGGGCTACAGAAAAAGGAGATGGCCAGCTGTCAGCATTCATAACTCCCTGCTTCTGTGCATGCACTGTGACCAGGTACCTCAAGCCCCTGCAGCTGTGGCTTCCCTTGACTATGAGCCAGAACAAGCCTTCCCTCTCTTAGGCCTCTTTGTCTTTGGTCCCAGCAGCAAGAGAGTTGATGAACCTACCCACCAGCTGTTATGCATACAGAAAAGGAAAGTAACCAATGGCGGCATGTCCTTACAGCAATGATACAGGGAGCTTGCTCAGTAACCAATAGAGGCATGCCCTTACCAAAACAAAACAAACAAAGAAGAAAACAAACACAAACTACATAGAGCTTGCTGAGTAACCAACAGAGGTGTGTCCCTACAAAAATGACTTCAGAGAGCTTGCTCAGTAACCAATACAGGTGAGCCTTTACAAAAAGACTCCAGAGAGCTCTCATCCCTTTTGCTGTGTGTGTGTGGGTGGTGTGAACAGCTTTTCTTAGTAAAATTGCTATGGGCATTTCCTAGTATGTATTATAAAAGCACATTTATACTTCGCTGTGGAGGAAGGAATCTACCTGTAGGCTTAGCATTCACACCCCGCTAATATTTTGTTCCTGAGTTAACCTTCAATCTAAGTACTAAACACCAGGCCCAAGCGGAATAAAAGTCTCGGTGGCCTTGATATCTGGGAGACTTCCTTCCTACTCTATAGAGAGATCCTGGTGAGAAGAGGCAGAATCTCAGAGACAAGGTGGACCGCTTGAGCAGAGGGGCAGACCCTCTGACAGACGGGCAAGACTAACTGTGAGTGACGGATTTTGTTGCCCTTTGGTCTACAATCGGCTGGCTGAAGATGAGATGGAACACAGACCTTTGGAGTGGTACTCCAAGGTCTTCTTATTGAAGAATCAGTTTCTGATCTTTTGAGGTTTTCTCTAGATGACAAGTATCAAGGACTACTTATAAAAAGACAATGTCTAAGAGCCAGGAAATAGGCCTTTGTTGGGCACTACATTGGTTACCAGTTTTACCCTGGACATCTCAGCCTTCAGGACTAAACTTATAGTATTCATATGCTACCCAGCCTATGGCATTTTTGTTATAACTACATGAGTAGATTGAGATGCCATGCAAATATTAGTGACATCAATGCCATAAAAAGTACAATTTGAGCCTGACGGTGGTGGCGCATGCCTTTAATCCCAGCACTCAGGAGGCAGAATCAGGCAGATCTCTGTGAATTCAAGGCCAGCCTGGTCTATAAGAGCTAGTTCCAGGACAGGTTCCAAAGCTACAGAGAAACTCTGTCTTGAAAAAAAGGAAAACAAACAAACAAACAACAACAAAAACCCACTATGCTGAGTGAAAGAAACCCGTCGCAGGAGGCCACATATATTTTTTTTAATACAAAAAGTCTAGTTGAGACCAAGTCACTGAAACAGGAAGTAGATCTGTGGTTGCCTAGTGAACCAGCTACTAACAGTGCTGAAGGAACAAGGCAGCGGCTGCCAGTAGGAACAGGCATTTTGTGACGGTAACTGACTGTGGTGACAATGGTTAAGCAACACTGTAAATAAGCTAAGGAGAACCAAACTGCACATTTAAGTAGGTGAACTGTGTGTGAATCAATAAATCTCAATACATTGGTTGCCTTGGAATCATAAAAGGTTAGAGGATAAGGAGATAGTTCAGCTAGTGAACAGCCCACTGTATAAGCAATGAGAGCCTCATTTAGGGTCCTTAGCACCATGTGGAAAAGTCAGGTGTGGTCCCACATGTCAGTAAACCAACCCAGGGAAAGCAAAGTCAGGAAGCTCCCAGGAACTCCCTGGCAGGCCAGTGTAACTGTGGTGAGAAACCCCGTCTCAGAAGATCAGGGGGAGAGCCAGGAAGAAGACAAAGCAACCTCTGACCTCTACAAATAGTCCCCCACACGATACACATGCGTGTGCACTCACACATACAACATAAAAAAAAATAAAAGCAAATTGGATCATGTCGTACAACACACAACAAATCCATGGCTTCATAACAATTCCTAAGAGACTTGAGAGGTAAAAAGAGAATTCTGTGTCTGGTTTCAGGACCAGGAAGGGGCCCCATTTCTCACTTCTTGCTCCATTTATTTGATGAACTCTGGGACAGGGAGAAGATATATACCCTGGGAGCAGTTGGGGTTCAGCTGGTAGGTACCACTCAGCCCTTCACTGCTAGGAAGCCGTGATAGCCGCTGAAACCAGTACTCACCTGTATGATCCGGATAAGACAAATCTCCAGTCTGAGATGATGAATTTCTCTTGGATTTGGCCGGCAAATTTCCTGCCTGACTTGGCACAATACACCTCCCCTTCCACACTCCGGATGGAAATGTTCTGTGGGAAGCAAAGCAAAGGTGACATTTATTAGCTATGTGTTTATTGATAAACATGTCCCCCCCATTCTATGTTGAAACCTAATCTTCAATGCAGTAGCTCCACGGTCTTTGGGAGGTAATTGGCTCCTAAAGATTGAGCCTCGTAAAGGGATTAGTGCCCGGTGTAACAGACTGGAGAGCTCCCCATTCTGTACGCCATATGAAGAAGACACAACGAGACAGGCATTTACAAACAAGGCAGAGAGCCTCACCAAACACTGAATTTGTAGACATCTTGATCTGAGATTTCTCTGCCTCCAGAACGGTGAGAAATAAATCTCAGTTGTTTCCAGGCCACCCAGTCTACGACAGTCTGCTATAGCAACCCAAACACGCCGAGACAATTTGCATAGGAAATTGGAAGGATGTTCACCAAGATTTTATCTAAGCTTGGAGAGATTTTGTATTATTTACATTTTTTGTTGGCCTAGTTTTCTAAGTCCCCTCCCCATTGCTCTGACAATAGATGGTAAATGGGGGGAAAGCGGTGGAATTCCAACAAAAAATAAGAAAGCAAATAAAAGAAAGATGAGGTTTGATGACCAAGGAGCCCTAGTCTAGGCCTTCACGGACCACAAAGGGTTTGAATTATCAAGGAACAAGTCCATAGGTGGCTTTAGTGGCATGAGTTCCTTACTAAGCTGGCCAGAGAGCTGGCCCAGTAAAGCAAGAGGAGACAGTGCTGTGAAGGCCACCGTGGACCCTGGACCATTTGGAGAAAAGGCGTGTTCACGACCGCAATCTTAACGCTGTTTGTATCTTGTCTCCCTGGCAGCATCTAGTGTCCATGCCTCAGCTGGATCCCATGGAAGACTTTATAAACGTCAAAGCAGGGAAAGCGTGGGGATTTCCTTTGGGGTTATGGCCAAGGGTTGTGGAATACTGCCAGGACCCCACCAACGGCTGTCTATGGCCTCCAATCTCCAGGAAGGGCACTCCAGTGCGTCTAGAAGCTCCCCCCAGCATCTTAGTGGCAAGAGGACATAGCCACTGCTCTGCAGGTGTGGCCCATGAAGGCAAGGCCTGCATGAACTCTCAATCTATTATAATGGCCTTTTGTTAAGGAGTAGAGACCCAGGAAAGATCAGGCAAACCCTGGTTGTAGAGAGTGGTATCAGGAGGAATCCCAGAACTAAGTTGCCTCCCAGGCAGTGTGTGTATGGTGGGGGCGGTATTTTGGAGGCTGATGTGTCTGAGTTGAGAGGGGGATATAAAAGGAACCCAGAGGATCATCCTTCAGCTGTTCAGCCAGAACCTATTCATGAAAGTTGTGGCTGGTTTTCCTTTTGACCTTGACTCAATGCTCTCAAATTTGCATGGCTAATTAAATTCTTATCTCCGTGTTTCTCCTGCCAGGAGAGGGAAGTACGTCTGCGTGTATCTAGGGGAGGATCTAGTTAAACTAAGAGCATCAACTTTCTGGTGGGTTCAGAGAGTTCAAGACACATCCTCCTGGTCCTCGGGGTTGCCCTGGGCTATGAGGCATATAAACTTTGTTTCCGAAGCTGAGAGGAGGAGAGAAAAATGTAGCCTCTTTACTGGCTAGTCATGGTGCCCTGAAAGACCTCAGGCCCTATACATCCATTCCTTCCAGGTCAAAGGATTATAGACAGAAATGATTAACACCTCACCCAGGTCAGGGCCTAATAATATCCTTCAGAATTCTCCGGTCCTCTTTCTCAACTCCATATACCTTAGAGTAGAGTATACAACCAAAGAAGACTGGTTGCCCTATATAGAAACTTGAGCAAGAAGTTTCTTGAGATATGGAGATGGGGCATGAGCTGCCACTGTCCTATCTGATGGACACAGGGCATCCACTACAACTGTCACTGGGCCCCTACCTTGAGATGAGTATCAGAGATCTGGACTTTGTCACACATCTCCTGGAAGAGCCTCACCCCTCCCTGGTCCAGCAGCACACAGACGAACACCCCTCGCTTGTTGGCTGCCTCTAGGATGTCACAGAAGATCTCCACGTCTGTGAACACATCCATCAGGATGGCCAGGACCTGGGCCAGGGAGAGAGGACTCCATTACTAGAGAAGTCAGGCCAGCAATATCAGGACCCAGTCAAACCTCCTAAATCCCGGTGGGTCTCAGGGAGCTGGAGGGGCAGGATAGAATAGGCGAGGGTCTGATTGGCAGAATCAGAGGGATGGGAAGGGTGAGCCTAAGTGGAGGCCCTGCCCCATCTTGGCCCCACCATACCCACCACCATACCCACCACCATACCCACCACCATACCCACCACCATACCCACCACCATACCCACCACCATACCCACCACCATACCCACCACCATACCCACCCAGGCACATGTCTCTGCTTATGTCGGAGCGAGAAGTGCTGAGGGGGAAAGCTGGGAGGGGAGGAGAGACATGACAGAAAAACAAACCAGCAACTCAACAGGCTTAGAGGAGCGAAAGAAGAACATGGGGTAGTCTCAACCGTTTGGAGGTAGACGGCACATATGACCACTGCTTTTCAAATGTTCTTAATCTCTTTATGATTTCCTTTATTTCTGTTTCTCCTTCCTTCTCTCTCTCTCGATTGCTTGCTTGCTGTGTGTGTACTCAAGTGTGCCACTGTGTGTATGCAGACAACTTGTTAAGTTGATTCTCTCCATCTATTATGTGATTCCCAATTCCTTGGCTTGGCAGCAACCCCCTTTACAGTGGGCGATCTCACTCTCCCCTAAGTGCTCCCCTCCCCAAGAGTCCTCACTTCATATACAACAAAATCCCATGTGGAAGAACCATACTTAAACTAGATCTGAGAGAGCTGCCCCAATGGGATGAAGGAATCTTGGTCTCCCAGAAGCCTCTGCATCGTCAGTCTCTTTAGAACTTTGATGAAACATCCCACGAAAGACATGATGGAGGAGTTCCTGCCCACCAAATTCCCACCCCTCCTCCTCCTGTCAACAGCACCCCAATTAGACATGAAGGGATCACCTTTCCTCTCTATTCTCTACCAATGTAACTTGAACGGAGCTACTGGTAATCACTGGTCATGGTCAGAACCTGAGACCAAGGCCAGAGCAATGAGAGGGCCACATCCCTTCCTGACCACAGAGGGCAGTCCAGAGATGGTCACGCCATTCACTGTTCTAATGAATGCTGGTCTAGGTCATTTGTTGGAGCCCTTGAGGAAAGGAGGGATTTGTTTGTTTGCTCCCCTGTTTACTTGTTTTAACTCATACTCTACAGACTCTGGTAGCCAGTGTACGGCCTCTTGTGGGAAGCATACATGAAAATGAAGCCAGCCAGGAGAAAGCAAGCCCAGGCAGTGGGCACGGATCCTCATTAGCACCCAAACACCTGCTTCCAACCATACCTGAAGCCAAATCCGTCCTCCTGTCTCAGCCCCCTGAGGTTGGGACTACAGGGGTTTACCTCTGTGTCAAGCTACCTCTGACCTTTCCACAAAGGATGTCAACAGATCTTCTCCTTTGTTGGACATCTTTATTACCTTCCTAATACCTAAGTTGCGGTGTAGTGGCAATTCCATTATTAGGAAGCCATTCAAAAAGATAATCCTGATGATGGTGTTAAAGCTGCAAGACACAGTGGCACCTGTGTGGTCTGAAGTAAGGCCAGTTGAATAATAAGTGGTCAACAAATGTGTTAGCAATGAACAAAGTAAAAAAGAAGAGCAAAATAACCCCAATCCTCACATCTTCCACTATGACTGTCAGACGAACGTCACAGACAGATTAAGCCAAACTGGTAGTCATGACAACAGGGGTATGGAGAGCTTCTTCTTCAACATTAGGTGTTGCTGTTTGCCAGGGAATTGTCCCCCACAAGCTCACACCCAGATTGGGGTGAGTTTGGAGAAGTCGTAGAACGTATAGGACTTGTTTCTATTAGGTATTTTGTCAGAGTCTTGAGACAAGTAATTAACATAGACATAACAATGTTGTTCCATCGTCTTACCCACAATATGCATATACATCGTATGGGTGAGTGTGTGTGTTCTTTATTTCTTCTTGCTTTGAGCCCCACCGTGCAGCCAAGGCAAGCACCGACCTGCAGTCTTTCCACGTCAGCCTCCAAGGGCTGGGATTACAAGCCTGTGTCAGTATGCCCTGTGACGATGGGTTTTCTGTTGTTTGTTTTGAAAGCATCCACAACTGGGAGGTAGCAGAGAAAGAGAACACGTCATCTCATTAGTGAGCCAAGGAGGTGACTGGGCCGTGTGTGGGGATGACTACTTAGCTGATGTGGGTATCTGTGCCAGGGACGGGGCAACGGAAATGGATTATTATGGCTCTATGAGGTTAGCAGAAAAGAGAAGGAAGCCCCCTTGTGCAGCCCCGTGCTAAAGGAGGAGGATGTGTTGGAAGCAAAGCCTTGCAGGTTGGCTCCAGAAACCTGCACTGTTGAAGACATGGAAGATATGTATTCAAGTCAGATGAGGCAGTGCCTGCTCCAACCAGTGTGGACCCTAGTTCCTGGCTCTGGGCGGTCCTCAGGCTGGAAATCCTTCACCCGTGGAAGGGCGGGGGTGGGAGGTGATGGTGGTGGGGTCAGAGCTGGTTGCAGATAGGCACCGGGGACCCTCAGCACCACTCTGTGCTCTGACTTTCCTGGGCTCTTTTGGGGAGCTTGCCTTTGGCAGACCATTAACAACAGCAAAGGTTTGCTGAGCATTACTATTAGCCACAGGCTTGTCTCATGTGACTTCCTCAACTTGACCAGTCCCCCAGCTTCCCGGGGAGGAGACAGGGTACAGACAGCTTTTCACAGCCACAGGGCTGGGATGTGATCAGAGATACCCACATCCCATCCTGGAAACCCGTGTCCTCATCCTGCTCCATGATTCTCCTTTTGTCCAACTGTCTGTCTGTGTACATCAGTGATAACCTGAGGGACGGAGGGATAAAGAGGGAATATTCTAGAATTAAAAGAAACATTCCAGCTCTGTTTTCCTGTCAGGAACACAACCCTATTTTATCTCTGCCTCAGTTTACCTGCTGGTCCTGAACTTACACAGCGTGTCTTCTTGCATTGTTACCAACTATCTATGATTGTCAAGAACTTTTGTCGCTGGGCAGCGGTGGCACATGCCTTTAATCCCAGCACTCGGGAGGCAGAGGCAGGCAGATATCTGTGAGTTCGAGACCAGCCTGTTCTACAAGAGCTAGTTCCGGGACAGGCTCCAAAGCTACAGAGAAACCGTGTCTCAAAAAACAGGGAAAAAAAATAAAAATAAAAATTAAACAAAAGGTTTCAGGAAATAACTATTTCCAAGAGCTTTGGAGGGCGGCATGATCTTATTCATATACTGTATGTTTATGTGCATTGCTGGGGGCCAACGCGAGGACCTCACACGCGCTAAGCAGCCCCCAGCCCTGATGCTCTACATTTTTGCTAATCTATGAATGCCTCCCCAGAGCCCCGTAGCTTCTCCAATCCCCTGCCTCAGCCTGCTGCACAGCCCTGTGAGTGGAAGCATGGAAATAATCTTTCAGGGGTGGGATTAAGGTGTAGCTCCATTGATAGAGTGATTGCTTAGCGTATCTATGAAGACCGGTGTTCAATTCCTAGCAGTGCATGAACTGGGTGTGGTGTTCATCCTGGTGCTTGCAGGATAGAAACAGGGCCATTAGAAGCTACACGAGATTCTACAGCAGGGAAAAAAAAAAAAATCCTGTTTTTTTTTTTCTTTCTTTTTTTTTTTTTTTTACACAGGTAAGTACCTAGAAAGGACAGAGCATCACAGAACCACCGCAACGTCCCCAGGGACCCTCAGGGACTTGTGACGAAGCCTGGGAATTGCTATTCTCACTCTTCCGCCCAACAAGGCACAACACAGTTGCTGGCCTTGCAGCCCCCATCCTTGTCCCTTCCCAACTCCTTGAGGTCCCACAGGGTGGATGGTGGTATCTCCCCACCTCCAGGACACACGCACACCCTCTGACCCTCCTGATCTTTGCACCTAGCTTTTCTCTGCCTGGAAGTCTCCCTTCCTTCTCTCCTGGAAAAACGGTTACTCAGCCTTTGACGCTCAGCACCCTGCCTTAGTCACTGTCTCCCAGACGCTGAGCCCCACCTGCCGCTTGACCCACGGCCTACTCCAGTCCTCTCCCACAGCAGGAGGCAGCTGATGGGGACTTCCTCAAGGTGAGGAGATCTCAGCTTTGCTTTGCTGCACCGGGCTGGGTAGAGTGAAGGAATTCAGCAGAAAGGGAAGGAAGGAGGGCCGGTCCTGCTTCTTGGATGGGGAGTGCTCAAGAGTGGGATGTGCCTCAGCCTGTCTCCTTTTCCTCTCAGGGCTGCAGTTACAGGAGATGGCAGAGCCCAAGCCCAGTTTTCTTCCCGTCTTATTCTGCTTCTATGATAGCCTGTCCACCATCTATCCATGTTTACCATCACTGTGGGAACAGGCCACCCCTGAGCCGCCTCCTCCTCCTCCTCCTTCTTCTTCTCGCTCGCTCCCTCCCTCCCTCCCTCCCTCCTCCCTTGCCCCCCCCCACTCTGTGTGTGTGTGAGAGATCTATCCATTTCTGCTATTATCTCTGTGGGAACAGGCTACCCCTGAGCTTTCGTGTGTGTGTGTGTGTGTGTGTGTGTGTTGGAATGTGTGCTTGTGTGCTCACGTGAGCTTTGCATGTGTGAAGGATATCACAAAATCAGCCACAGGAAGGCAATAAGTGTGAGCAAAGCCCAGGGAGGTGCAGGCCAACAGGGACATTTTGGGAAACCCAGCCAAAGAGGTCACTGTCACTCACTCCAGAGGATCCAGGCCTCTCGACCAGTTAAGTGGACCTGGAAGTCCACACTTTTCGATGATTTTTAAGTTTCCTAAGATTCATAACCTGCTGTGTCATACAAAGAACATTAGTGGGAATTAGGTCTCAGAAGGCAGAGAGATTCTGCCAGGCGGGGAGAAGGAAGGAAGGGTGTAGCGAGACTCAGACAGAGAGCTGGGTTTCCCAGCGAGCTGTGGTTTCCTTCCAGGGTGCTGCACTGGCCCTGAAGCCGGTGCTGAGGCCGAGGATTCCCTGCACACAAGTCCTTCCCTTAGGAGAGCACCAGCAGTCGCCCAAGAGACCAGAGGCAGCACACTCAGCGACAGGCAAAGGGATATCAGTTCAGCATGGCAGCTGAGCCCCAAGAGGTCAAGGCACTTGCCTGGGGTGTCACAGGGCAGCCCTAGGCTTCCCAGGCTCCCAGCACCCATCTGTCAACTGCCAACGCCACCAAGTCATGAAATACAGTCTCCAAGCAGCTCTGCCACACAGTGGCTCCACCCACTGACATTTAATTTTCCAGAACTCTTGTTCCCTCACAACCTTCCAGGCCTCAGCCTTGGTGGCTCTCCCCAGGACTTTAAGATTTCAGTGTTGAGCCTGGGAGGGGATCCTGGCCCGAGCCCAGGACCACAGCCACGAGTGAGCATACATATCAGTGTATGCTTCATGAGACAGAGACTAATACAGTGGGGGCAAGAGTAGGAAGGGAGAGAGGGAGGAAGAAAGAGAGAGAGGCGCGCGCCAGCCAGCAGGCAGACGTCTCTGAGTTCGAGGCCAGCCTTGTCTACAGAACAAGTTCCAGGCAACCAATGCTACACTGAGAAACTTTGAAAAACAAAACAGAAAAACAAAACAATATGATTACTCCCTCCCCCACCAGTGATATGGGGATCCATTGAACTCAGGACCTCGTATATGCTAAACAAGCACTCTACCACAGAGCCACACCCCCAACCCTGGACGACAGATTTTCTGCCACTGATGCCTGAGGTCCTGTCAGCTGGGTCCTTGTTCTGAAGGAATTTTCTGAGTCTACCTCACTGTCTTATTAAAACAATGGCCCTCTGGCAAAAGGGAAAGTAGTTTCTCTGACCCTCTCTCTCCACACACCTTTTCTTTTCTTTCTTTCTTTTTTCCTTAGAGCTGCCTGGTACAGGGGCCACGGGGCCACAGAGAAACCCTGTCTTGAAAAAACAAAGCAAAGCAAAACAAACAAAAACAAGGGCCGCATGTCACTTGTGGGCAGTCAGGTCTAAACAGAGGGGGGGAGATGGGACGGGGGACGGGACAGGACGGGGACACAAAAGGACAAGGGTATACCCTAATGAAGTACCTCCACCCTTCGTTTGGAAGCCCAGAGCTAAGAGTAGCCAAGTGAAAAGCAGGGAGGGCGAGGGGCCAGGTAGAGTGTACAGAGCCCCGAAGCCAGAGGCAGCAGAATCTGCAGCGGACTGGACTCAAGGTTGAGCGACAGGCGGTGAGACCAGGGCTGAAGAGCAGGCAAAGTAAGCTTACTCTTCCCACACAGGAGATTGTAGTGCCAGGGATGGGCGTCAATGGCCTAGGATCCAGACTGTAACAGGGATCAGGGGTCTGGGCTCCAGGGCAAACCCGTGAGAACCGGACGCAGCCCCTCGCCCTGTTCTACCAGCCCTGTTCCCCGCCCATGGCCAAGCAGACACCAGCTCAGCGTGGGTACCTGGCTGGCCCGGGAGATGCAGCGGCGGACCAAATCTCTGATGTTGTTGTGCTTGTCCGTTTGGAAGTACACGGTGGCGCTGGACTTTTCCTTCAGGTAGGGCTTCTCAGCCAAGGTCCAGTTGTGCAGCAGAGCCGGTTCGCTGCCTTCCGAAGTCACGGGGAAGTAGGTTCCTGACTGTACAGAGCAGGAGTCCAGTCCTCTGGAACCCGCCTCAGCCCCTCCTGCTGGATCTGGGCCGCTGGGGGGCTCCTTGGCCTGGGCCTGGATGTACTGGGCCTCCGCCGAGGACAGGAAGTCTACCTCTCCTTCCTGGTTGAGAGTGTGCCAATAAGCCTCAGGACCCCCATCTAAGAGGGCGTCTGTGGCCAGCCGGGCACTCTCGTTGTCGCTAAAGTCAGCTCTGGCTGGCCGGATCCACTGGTTTTTGACATCTTCCAGACGTTTCCGGATCTTGCCCACATGCCTTGACCGGCTCATGCTGCCGTGCCCCTCAGTCGTGGGGGGAGGCCAGCCCTGAAGCTCTTCCAGATGTGGGGAGAATGCAGACAATACCAGGGAGGGGCCGGACTCTAGGTATTTCTAGGAAGCTCCGGGCTTCCTTCCCATACTGGCCTGCGGACTCCCAACCTCACCTCTCGCCTATTTGGAGAACTGATTCCCGCTGCCCCAACAAGGCTTCTCAAGGCTCCTCACCTGCAGCCCAGGGATTGGCTTATCTCGGAGGGTTACCGCCCTGCCTGCAGGCTAGGGGCTGGATCAGTCGCTGCCTCGGCACAGTCAACCACAGGATATTTCCTCTGCTTCAGCCGCAGGCTGAGCAGGCTTTCCCACTTAGTTGCACAACTCTGAGAGCCTGGAGTCCCTCGGGCCTTTGTTACAGTGAGGAGCTGCTCCTCGCTCACCCCCCCCCCCATCCCCAGCGCCACCAGCCCAAGGGATAGACAGGAGCAAGGACCACTGTGCTCTGGTTCCCTGTGGGCTCCTCGGCTCAAACTCTAATGGGTTCATATAAGGGCAACAAAACCCTCTCCTTCCCACGCGTGTTCCCTCCTTGATGTCTCTTTGTCTAGTATTTGCCATTATCCTGTTTTCTCAGTCTGCAAAGAGTTTCCAAGTCCGGGGCTCAAGCTGACCTTTGGGAAGTATGGTTGCTGCTCAAGCTACTACTTGCTGGCCCGGGGAACCCGTGACTGGAGGCAGGGATTCATTTGTGAATGAACTCTGTGACCTCTGCAGAAGTAACCTGTGTTTTCCCTCCAGACCAGATCCAGGCCAGCGGAGGGATGGAAGGAACAGCCAGAAGCCTGCCTTTCTCGAATTGGGTTCTACAGGAAATGGGCTAAGAGGAGGGCTTGAGCACAGGTGTCTTGCTTGGACGGGGAATTTAACAGAAGGGAAGAACACTTGTCTTGGGCAGGTTGACTTGTAGGTCACTGTAGTGGCCATCTGGGGTTCCTGGACATGATAGAACACACCTAGGGCTCGGTTCTCTGTGTGTTAAGATAGGGTCACATCTCAGCTTTCCTACCTGGAGGCTGAGGGGGTCTGAAGTGTTTTACCGGCCTGCCTGTCGTCTATCAGTGATGGAGGGTCTCTCACGCCCGGGTTTACCCTGACACCCGGCCTGCCTGTCATCTAACTGTGGCAGATGGTCTCTCATGCCCGGGTTTACCCTGCACCCAGCCTGCCTGTCGTCTATCAGTGACAGAGGGTCTCTCATGCCCGGGTTTACCCCGGCACCTGGTCTGCCTGAGAGTCCACTAAGTGCAACCCTGTGGTGACTAAGTGGCAGATGGTGACAGGAAAATGTAACTGTGGGAGTGGTGACACTGGAGTACAGTGCCAGGCTCCGGCAATACCCGCTAAGGACCTGTGCCAGGAAACTCCAGTTGTGTGTGTGTGTGTGTGTGTGTGTATGTGTGTGTGTGGAGTCGGAACATGGGAAGAGCCGGTGCTTCTGGGGCATTGCTTCTTTGTGGAGGAAGACAGACAGACCTAGGCTTCTAGGAAGGTAGAAAAGTGGCCCAGGTGGCTTGGTCCAGCAGGACAGCCACACGTTTAAATCAAAGTTCAATCCAGAGACAAGAAAAGCAATTTTAAAAGGAATTTCTTTCCTCTTAGGACAGACAAACGAAAGAGTCCAATTCACAGTTCAGACACGCCTCCCTTTGTTTCAGCTTCTCTCTTCCCTCCGTCCCTGTTCCCTGAGGACAAACTCACTAATCCCTCCTTGGCTTTCCGCCCTCTCCCTTCTTGCTCCTGGAAGTGGACTTGTTTCTCTTTCCCATAGCCTTCTCCCTCTTTCTGACTCCTGGGTTCCACTCATGTCCCCTCCCAACGCTATCTGATTTCCTGCATTACCTAAGTCCAGTCCCCCTTCAAGTAAGACAGACCCAGGATAGAGGGTGTACACCCATGGGATTTGCTATTCATGCCTAGGGGTAGTATGTGCACCCCTTCAACTCGAGACTGTCTAAAACGACCCCTGTGATCTCTCCCACACTTGGCAATCATGGGACACTAGGCAATCGGATTCTCTAATATTGAGGGCAAGATGAGTTGCTGGCCCTCAAAACACAGAAGAGGAAACTAATGACCAGAAAGACTGAGTAGTTGGCCCTAGGTTCATGCAGCTATGAGGTGACAAAGCCCAGGCACTGGGATCCTAAGGCTCCCATTCTTCCTCTGCAGGTCCCTTTCTTTCTGTTTCCCTTTCTACTCTTCAAGTTCCGCAGATTCTCAGTCCCAGAGGTTGAGAAGGGCAGAAAGAAAGACATAGGTGGGTGTCCTCTCCCCTGGACTCAACTCTGTGTTAGCTTGATAAATGGTTGAATACCTCCCTTGAGAGAGCGGTAGATTTTTGTGGCCTATAGGCACCATTTTTCCCCTGTTTCCCCACAAAGCAGCTCCTTTAAAAAATGATGAGAAGCCTGTTGAGTGTGACTTAGCCTCTTCAGAGCCCTTCTCTTGTCCCCAGCTCCTGATCTTCCAGTGAAATCCTTTAAAAGAGTCAGCAAGGCTGGGCGATGGTGGCGCATGCCTTTAATCCCAGCACTCGGGAGGCAGAGGCAGGCGGATCTCTGTGAGTTCGAAACCAGCCTGGTCTACAGAGCTAGTGCCAGGACAGGCTCCAAAGCCACAAAGAAACCCTGTCTCGAAAAACCAAAAAATAAAATAAAATTAAATTAAAAAAAATAAAAGAGTCAGCAAACATGAATATTGCTACCCGCCCCCAATTCCTAACCCTTGACAGACATTACTAGTTGATCACAGAGCTCTAATTGAACAGGGAACTAATTTCCCAGTATAGCTTATAGGGGACCAGAGAATTCATCAGCAGACATCAAGACAGACACCCAGAATATGAGATAATCTACATGACAACTGGGCCAACAGGACAGTAGCAGAGATGTCTTTTAGAGAAAGAAGCTGAGAAACTGAGGCACGGGGAGATTAATTAAATTCCTAAAGCACCCCATAGTAGAGTCTGGACTGCCTTTCTCTCTGAAGCTCTTGTCCCTCCCTGCAACCAGATTCAGTAATTGCTAAACTTTGTAAGTGTGTTTGAGCCGGGGTCTCACTCTCTAGTCCAGGATGGCCTGGAACTCAGAATGTAGTTCATGCTGGTTTATACCCACAGTGACCCTCCTGCGCCAGCCCGCCAAGTGCTGAGAATACAGGCACAGTCTAATCCACACCTGTTTTGTAATTACCAATGCAAGCGAGAATCCTCTCTGGGAGACCGAGAAATTTGTGGTGGCAGTAGGGGGAGGCAAAGCATGTCTTGGCTCCTTGGCACCCCAAGTGTCTACCCTAGCTAGGGATCAGCACAAAGCAGCTATTGAGCAGGGTCTATCCAAACAGCAGATGGTTAAGAGGCCCCGACTGAGAAGGTGGCCGGTGTGGATAGGGTCTCACGGGGTCCAGGGTTTGGTTGTTTACTGCTTGGGAAGATCTAGAGGCTGTGGCTGGGCCCTGGGAGAACAGCACCGCCCCTGCCACTTCCCATCAAGGCCTGTAGCAGTGAGTCTTGTTACCCGGTGACCCGAGATGAGCAATTAAATTGAAAATTAGTTGGCATATTAATTAGACAAGCAGATCATTCCCTGTCAACACCAATCAATTTTAATTCCTTCTGCATAAAATCAGACCAGCGAAGGCAGGGCAAGGTGAGGTGTTCTCCAAGCTGTATCTGCTGGAGGCCAAGGCAGTGGGTGGGGAAGAGAAGTGTTGGGGCGGGGGTACTGCCAGGTGCCCCAATCCCCACTTATCCACAGAACCTTCTCTATTTGATTTTCAGAGAGGCCACCTTCCAGGTTGGTCTCACTGGGCCCATCTTTAGCACCTGACAAAATCCCAGAGGCAGTCCCAGAATCCCCCACTGTGACTCAGTGGGTCTTTTGTTTCCCACCTTTGACTCCAGATCAGTTCCTTGAGATTTCTGACATGGACAAAGACCACAGAAGTTCCTAGTTTCCTTAATAAACACCAAGGAGCTTTTTAAAAATTGTTATTACTTACCTGCGCTAAAATTCATCCTTCTGAATGTGCTACTCTGAGCTCTAAGACCCACGGCTGTGTAGCCACCACCATAACCAAACAACACTCCCATCACCGCTAAAACCTCTGTGTCCTTCCAACGTCATAGCTTCTCCTCCCTCAGGTATCTGTCCCTAAAACATTTTGCTTCTTCTTGAATGTCTCATTAATTGAGGCACACAGCGTTAGACTTCTGAATCTGGCTTCTGTCTTCTTTTGATTAGCTATGCACTGTGATTCACCCATCCTGGGCATCGGTAGCCAGCTAATTTTTATTGTTGTGTAGTATTTAATTGTTTGTCTATCCACTTCCCAGAAAAAGGACATTGGGTTATTTCTCACGTGAAGTGTTTATGAATAAAACCACTATAAATAATCATATGCAGAATTTAATGTAAACAAAGTTTTATATAAATTAGGAAATTGTCTTGGACAATACTTCTAAGTATCATGATAGATGTTCTTACAGCTTTGTAAGAAACTGCTGCTCTGTCTTGTAAAGTCTAAACTAATCTGTATGCCCATCAGCGATGAATGAGGCTTTGGTTGCTCCACATTGCTCATGCATAAACGTGTGTGTGTGTGTGTGTGTGTGTGTGTGTGCACGCGTGTGCATTCATGTGCGCATGTATATATATCTAGCTATTCAAGTCTGTGCACACCTGCTGAGTGTGTGGAGGCCAGAAGTTAATGGCAGGATATTTTCCTCAGTTTCTTCTCCGTCTTTTCTTCAAAGTCTCTTTGAGCTTGGATTCTCTGATTCAGCTATCCTGATTGGCCATGGAGCCCCTGGGATCTGGCTATAGATGCACGTCACCACGCTTGACTTTATGTGACTTCTGGGGGTCTGAACTCAGGTCCTCGTGCTTGCACAGGAAGCATTTTCCCCAGTGAGTCATCTCCTCTGACCCAGTGTGTAAATTTTAAGGAATAAATCCACGTGTTGCTGGTAGCCACAGTTACACAATTTGCAGGCACAACAACAAAATACAAACATGGATTCCCATGTGCAAAACAGAAGGAAAGAAACCCCATAGATGCTATCGAGCTAGAGGCCTTTGTCATTCTTCTGGGGACTTCCTCTTGGCTTTTCTCATGGGTTGTTTATTTTGCTTCTTAAACGTGCTCTTTGATATTTCACTGTGCTTTGTGGTGTGTTTACCTGTGTGTGCTGAGCAGAGATGAAGATCTAGATGTGGAGTAGGACTTACAGGGTTGCAAGAGCTGTCTCAGCCACTCCACGAACACCTGCCGTAGACGTGGAGAGGCTGGCGTGCTGTGGTTCTGGGAAAGCTGAGCAAGAATGAATGCCTACTGGGCTCCTGACCTTCTAAGAAGAGGCACTTCGTAATTGGACTTTCTCTCTGACTGCTGAGTGAGTTAATGGAAGGCCGCTAAGGCAGATGAGGCAACTCTGTCAAGGGGAGTTGTGCAATTTCGGCACAGCATCGTGTTTGAGGGAAGGTCTGGGAGCCGATTCCACTGATAGAAATGGAAAGGAATGGTGCTTGGGCAGCCCAGCCCTGTGAGCTGGCATGTCAAAGCCACACCCCCATTAGCTCTGTGAACCGGGGGGCCCCATGGCTCTGTGTGCCAGCACTGCCCGTGGTGACGGGAGACACTGCCCCTTGCAACTGCTGCTATACGGGTTGGAACTGGAACAGAACTCCTGCCCTGTTCTGGGTCTGAATTTGGAAGGAGCAGGCTCAGCTTTGGGCCCCAGGGCTGCTGCACCCACAGCCCACACCCACAGCCACCTGTCCCACCTGGCAGTAGGTGTGGAGTGGGAGGGTGCTGTCGGGTGAGCATGTAACCCTTTCTTCTCTGGCTAGGCTTGATGTTCTGCCCATCTGTACATGGAGACTAGAGAGTTAAACAGTAGGAAAGTCCATTTGGATAAGAGTCCCACTGTGCAACCCTGTGTATCTTCAGTCACGTGAGACTGGAGGCACAGAAGTGAACCTGTCTTCTCTTCAAGGGAAGATCCATCTGAAGCAGGGAAACATCTCTTGCAATCAACCCTCAAATGCTCAAGGGCTCCCAGTCCCCACAGAGGCACAGTATGGCCTACCGCCAGCAAAGGCAGCAGTTTGGAAACCGTGAAGTGCCGGGCTATGGTGGTGCAGGCCTTTAAGTCCAGCGCTCTGGAGGCAGAGGCAGGTGGAGCTCTGTGAGTTCAAGGCCAGCCTGGTCTACAAAGCAAGCTCCAGGACAGCCAGGGCTACACAGAGAAACCTTGTCTCAAGGAAAACAAATCAACAAAACCAAATCAAACAAATAAAAGAAACCGTGAAGTCAGGCAGCAAGATGGATCAGCCAGATGGTAAAAGCGGGACCTTAGTTCATCCCCTGGATTCTCAAGGTGGAAAGAGAGATATGACTCCCCAAAACTGTACTGTGTATACACACGCACATATACTACACACACACACACAATACAAAGGAAAGGAAAGAAAAGAAATCATGAAACCAAACATGGGTCTTGAAAACAAAGCAACCACGGCCCTGAACTATGGAATGACTCAGGAATTATGAGCACACAGCACAGAGGAACTCCACCTAGCTCTAGGGCAGAAGCCTCAGGAGTGGCCAGTGGGGACAAGGAAGGATGTCTGGCTGTGGGGCGAGGGTGAGGTGAGATGAACCACACAGGTCAGACCTGAAGGTACGGGAGGATACGGCTCCTCCCATGGGCGGTGAAGCCTTGAGGTGTCGGCAGGACACAAGTCAGTGTCAATGTAACAGTAGTAATGGCTAGTCTAGTCACAGGGTGCCTGTGGAGCTCCTTGGGGACATCTGGCCAGCAGCAGGGGTGAGGCTGCCTCCTCTTCTGCTGTCAGGGTGATGAGTGTTAGACACCGCCAGTAATAGCTTGCTGCCTCCTGCCTGGCTGTTCATTCATCAAGTTGAACCCAGACTGGGAGGACTGGGACCTTCTGAAGCCCTGGACACCTGGCAGAGGAACTGCTGGCTGTTTCTGCTTTCTCACGCCTCGTATCCATGCCTCTGCTCCTTCTACTTGCATACATAGCTGCCCTCCTCCCTTCCCTCGGTTTTGTTATAGCCGAAACAATAAGATGAGGTTCCTGGGCGTCTACCCAATGCCAGCCTGGCAGGTTGCAAACCCCAGTTGTAGGAGACCTGGAGACCTTTATGTATCCCAGAGGACGGCAGCACAATTCCAGCCCCGAGGGCCTTCTCGATAAGGTCCCCCCCCCCTTCCTCCATTCTCAGCCCTGCTCCGCTCAGTCTTAGTTGAAGCAGAGGCTGCTGGAAAGGGGTGGAGGTCCTGATGCACAGACGTTTGGAGCCAGCTCTTCTGTCCTTGCTCTAACTGAGCAGTCAAACTGTAGGAGGAAAAACTAAGACCAGGCTAGAGTGGCTCTTAAGCCACTCACAATCCCTGCCAAATAGACGGTGATAGTGACCTGTGGGTTGGACAAAAGTGCAGAGAGAGGTGAGGGGCTAAACACCTTGATGGCTCATACCATCTGAGCTCCTGGTCTTGGCCTTTGGGTAGATGAAAAGTTCGCCTAGGGGTGAGAGAACAGGAATGAACTTGTCTTTATTTTAATCTGCCCACAAGATCTTCTGTCTTCCACGATCCCACACATCAAACACATTGGCACGAGACCATCCGTATTTCTGCTGTCTTTGTTGCTAATGAAAATTAGAATGTCTGGAATTAGGAGACTTTCCTGACCCCAGAGTGGGTAGCATGAACAAAGGAAGCTGATTCTGTCGCTGTGTTGAAGGCTGAATGACCCAGAACAGATTGAAGAGACTCCGGGGCTTGTTTCTTCCCTCCTGGGTCCCTCTTACTGGATGTGGATAGACGGCCGTCTTCCTTTTGTACCCTCATAGGGCCCTTTCTCTGTGTGTGCCCAGGTCCTGCTGATCTCTCATAGACACTCCAGGCAGCTACAAAGACCAAGCGAGAGCTGTATGGGTCACCAGGTGTGATGGCTAGTCTTGGTAGTCAACTTGACTACATCTGGAGATAACTAAAACCCGAGCAGCTGGGCGCACCTGTGGGATCGTTTTCCTAAGCAAACCATTTGAAATAGGAAGACACACTTTTAATCCAGATCTTTTGTGGTGGGGAAATAGACTTTTCACGTGGGCCATACCTTTGGCTTCTGACAGCCTATAATGAAGGCCATGGGAGGATGGAGCCTCCACTCTCTGCCTGCTGGCCCTCACTCTCATTGGCAAGACCATTCCTTCACTGACGATGAAAGCCTACTTCTTTGGGATTCCAGAACCTATTGAAGACCAGCTGAGACTTCCAGCCCCATGGACCGAACTGCTAGATTCTTAGACCTTCCGTTGGTAGCCAGCCATTGTTGCGATAGCTGGACCACAGCCTGTAAGCCCCTTTATCCTCTGAAGATCCCTGACTGAGACACCAGTGAAAGAGTCCCAGCTCACTGCTAAGTGGAAATAAGAATAGTATGGTCCCTTTTATGCACCTAAACCTCGGGTGTTAATTTCCACTTTTGTGGGAAGATGCTGCTTCCTAGCGTCAAGGGTGAGGCTGGGTGGAGGGAACTATTCACTCTTGTACGTACGTGAAGGTTAGGTTGCATTGCTATTCTCAAGTCCTCCCTCCTCCTCTTGTCTTGGAACTCTGGCTCTCTCTCTCTCTCTTTCTCTCTCTCAGGTTCAGTGACTTCGAACTTGGTCATATGATTTGCTTGAACCCAGGACCTCATTTGTATTAAGTAGACAGGTGTGCTAACACTGAGCTATTTACCCAGGGTTCTTTAAACTTTTTATTTTGAGACAGGGCTCACTGAGTTGCCCAAGATGACCTTGAATTCACTTTGTAGCCCAGAAAGGCCTTGAACTTGTGACCTTCCTCCTTCAGTCTGCTAGTAACTGAGACTTAGAAGTCTGTTCCACCAGGCCCCACTAGACCATTGGAATTTTACTGTACAAGCTAAGAGCACAGGCTTTCTGTGAGATTACCTAGCGTGCTATGATCTCTTGGGCTCCTCCTACTCTTTGAGAATGTGTCCTGTTGTGGGAGATTTGTACACCGTGTGAAAATATACTGCTTTGGGGCTGGAGAGATGGCTCAGCGGTTAAGAGCACTGACTGTTCTTCCAGAGGACCCGGGTTCAATTCCCAGCACCCATATGGCAGCTCACAACTGTCTGAAGATCCAGTTCCAGGGGATCTGACACCTTCATACCAATGCACATAAAATAAAGTTAAATTAAAAAAAGAAAATATACTACTGTGATTGGTTTAATAAAGAGCTGAACGGCCAATAGCTAGGCAGGAAGTTACATCCATTTACCTGTGAATTTCATGATTTTAATGGATGACTAATGTTCCATTGTATAAATGTACCACATATTCTTTATCCATTCATCCATTGACAGACATTTAGGTTGTTTCCAGTTTCTGCCTATTGTGAATGGAGCAGCAATGAATACAGTTGAACAAATGTCTCTGTAGTTTTGGGCAAATGTCTCTGTAGTGCTACGAAGCATCCTTTGGGTATATGCCCAAGAGCGGGTTAGCTAAATCTTAATGTAGATCAATTCCCATCTTCCTGAGGAACTACCACACTGATTTTCGTGGTGACTGTACATGTTTGTAACCGATTACAATGAGTGTTCCCTTTACTCCATATCCTTGCCAGCATGAGCTGTCATTTGTTGTATTGATTTTGGCCATTCTTATTGGTAATGACGAAATCTCAAAGTAGTTTTGATTTGCCTTCCTCTGATGGCTAAGAATATTGTACATTTGTTTAAGTGCTTCTCAGCCTTTTTTTTTTTTTTTTTTTCAAGACAGGGTTTCTCTGCGGCTTTGGATCCTGTCCTGGAACTAGCTCTGTAGACCAGGCTGGTCTCGAACTCACAGAGATCCGCCTGCCTCTGCCTCCCGAGTGCTGGGATTAAAGGCGTGCGCCACCATCGCCTGGCTTTCAGCCCTTTGTTTCCTCTTTTGAGGATTCTCTGTTTAGCCGGTTTGTTTTGTTTTTGTTTGCTTGTTTTGGTTTTGGTTTTTTGAGACAGGATTCTACCCTGTATCCCTGGCTGTCCTGGAATTTTCTCTGTAGACAAGACTTGAACTCAGAGATCTGTCTACTTGTCTTCTGAGTGATGGAATTAGAGGTGTTTGCCAACACTGCCTACCCTGTTTTAACTGAGTTACTTGTTTTTTCTTTTACTATTACATTTTAATTATTTAAAACAATTTTAAAATGTAAATATTCTTTGATTATATTCTTCCCCTCCTCAAGTCCTTCCACATTCTCTCCCCCTTTTTACCTACACGACTTTAAGTTCTTTCGCAAAGAGCAGGCAAAACCCCAATATAACAACAAAACCCAAGAAAATAAAATAAGACACCACCCCAAAAGAAATAAAAATCCACCGAACTGTAGCCAAATAAAAGCATACAAAAATGTGAAGTCCTTTATATGTTGATCAACTACTCCTAAAATAAGGCCCACTCTGAGCTTTTTTTAAATATATATTTTGTATATTAGCCCTCTGTTGATATGCAGTTGGTAAAAATCTTTTTCCGTCTGTAGCCTGTGACCTGCTGCTTTGTCTCAACGATTGTGTTCTTTGCTTTTCAGTTACATGAGGTCCCACTTACTGTTCTTAAAGTCTGGGCTATTGATGCTCTGTTTAGAAAGTCTCATTGATGCCAAGGAGTTCAAGACTATTCCCCACTTCCTCTCTCTTCAGATTCAGTGTATCTGCCCAGCATAGGTTGAGATCTTTGATCCATCTGAAGTTTTGTTTAGGGTGGTAAGTATAGATATATTTAAATTCTTCTACACGCAGATGTCCAGTTTGACCAGCACCATTGGTTAAAGATGTTGCCTTTTCCCCTGTGTGTATTTCTGGCTTCTTTATAAAAAAATCAGGTATCCATAGGTGGATTTATGTCTGGGTCTTCAATTTGACTCCATTCATCAACATTTATGGGTTTTGTGCCAATACCATGCAGTTTTTATTACTATAGCTCTGTAGTACAATCTGAGGCCAGCAGTTTTTTTACTCTTTGGGATTATCTTAGCTAGCCTGTTTTTTCTTAACTTTATTTATTTTTATTTTGTATACATTGGTGTTTTATCTTTGTGTATGTCTATGTGAGCTGATGTTAGATACCCTGGAACTAGAGTTAGGGACAGTTGTGAGCTGCCATGTGGGTGCTGGGAATTGAACCCTGGTCCTCTGGAAGAGCAGTTAGTACTCTTAAGTGCTGAGTCATCTCTCCAGCCCCTAGCTGGTTTTGTTTTTGTTTGTTTTGTTTTGTTCTTTGTTTTTGGTTGTGTGTGTGTTTCCGCACGAACCTGAAGGTTGTTCTTTCAAATCAGTGAGGAATTGTATTGGAATTTTGGTTAGGATTGCACTGAATCTATGTATTACTTTTGGAAGGATGGTCATTTTTACCACATTGTCCTACCAATCCATGACCGTGGGAGACCTTTCCGTCTTCTGATATCTTTTTTTAGTTCTTATCATATAAGCCTTTTCACTTGCTTAGTTAGAGCTACTCCAAGATATTTTATATTTTTTGAGGATATTGTGAAGGTGTTTCCCTGGTTTCTTTCATAGTCTGTTTATCATTTGTACGCAGGAGGACTACTGATTTTTGTGAGCTGATTTTGTATCCAGCTACTTCGCTGAAGTGTTTACCAGCTGCAGAGGTTTCCACTGGGTTTTTTAAGGGTCACTTATGTATACTATTACATCATCTGCAAATAAAGATATTTCCTCCTTCCCAATTGTGTTCCCTTGATCTCCTTCAGCTGTCTTATTGCTGAGACTTCAAGAATTGTCTTGGATGGCTATGGAGTGAGCGGGCAGCCTTGTCTTGTTCCCAATTTTGGAGGAAATCCTTTTGAGTTTCTCTCTATTTAAGTTAATGTTGGCTATGGCCTTGATTTAAATCACCTTTATTATGTTTATGTGTGTCCCTTGTGTTCATGCTCTCTCCAGGACTTATATGAAGGGGTGTTAGATTTTTTCCATAGATTTCTTAATGGATGTATGAAGTTCCTCTTTAAGGGCCTTTTTAAGGACTGGAGAGATGGCTTGGTGGTAAGAGCATTGGGCTGTTCTTCTAAAGGTCCGGAGTCCAATTCCCAACAACCACATTGTGGCTCACAGCCATCTTATAATGAGATCTGGTGCCCTCTTCTGGCCTGCAGGCAAACATGCAGACGGAACACTGTATTTTTCTTTAAGGATCTCTAATATATTAATAAAGTCTTTGTCTTGTGCTTCTGCTATCTTGCATTTCTCAGGGCCTGCTGTGTGTTGGACTCTAGTGGAAACGTATTGTCCTGGCTGTTATACTGATTGTGTCTTTACATTAACATCTGAGCATCTGGGTTTCAGATGATTGTAACTCTAGGTGCTGACATCAGGTCCCATCTTTGTTGGGTGGGTGTTCTGTTCACTGGTTTCCGTTGCCCTCTCTGGTCCTTAGGAGACTGTGGTGGGTGTGGTTGCCTGGTGGGGAATGCGTCTCAGATCCAGCCAGGAGTGGACGCTGAGGGTTCCAGTTTCAGAAGATCAATCCATGACCATCATGGTGGGGAGCATGGAAGCAGGCATGGTTGCTGGAGCTGAGAGCTTACGTCTTACCTGCAAGATGGAGACTTCAAGATTGGGCCAGGTATGGACACCTCCTCCAACAATCCCACACCTTCCAGTTTTTCCTAAACAGTTCAATGGGGACCAAACATTCAAAATATGAACCTATGGGTGCCATTCTCGTTCAAACTGCCCTGAATTATGCATTTTCCACCCCTCCACGATCCATTGCCGAGTTTAGTATTTTAGGTTTGGTTTTGAAATTTAGTGAGCAAACATTAACACGTGTAAATAGCCACTCCCCCTCCTTCCCCCCATTTTTCTTTTTACAAAGGAGGTGGCCCATACTCAACTCTGTATTTGCCGCCTTCCCTGGCTGTCCCTCACAGCCTAGACTGACGAATACTTGTTCCTGTTTCTGGCTGATGTCTTGACCCTTTCGAGGACACTCGGGCTGCTTCCAGTTCTCTGCTATTCCACAGATCGCAGAACCAGCGATGGTTTTTCTGCCCCGGGACCGCCCAGCCCGTGAGCGGGTCCGTTTCCTGGCATGCAGTGCAGACTTCCTCTTGCCTGGGATCTGGAGTCCACAGCCAGGTTTACAACAGAGACCCAATCAGAGCAGAATCTCCACGGGATTCTCAAGGTTGGGCTAGTGTGAGGGCTTCCCACCAGGATCTGTGGGCGAGAGGTTTCCTAGGCCTGGGGCATTCGTGGTTAAGTCTGGACAACTAACTCTTTTTCGTGCTGTTTCTGGTTCGCTCCCTCAGGTGTAGTGAGTACCTGACCATCCACCCCCCCCCACACGAGACGTGGGGGCTCCCCCCCTAAATTTGTGAGGTTCCGCTTCCCACCAGCTCTAGTGCCTGCAGCCCCATGGAAAGCCTGCGCCTTTTTATAGTCTGGTGTCCCCTCCACATCCAGGCCCGCACTCTCCTAGTCCGGGTGCCCCTCTGCCACTCACTGGGGCTGGGATCCATCCCTCCACCTTAGTCCTGTCTGTCATTCTCTGAACTTACTCAGTTCTCGCGTCCAGTAGGAAGGATCACTTCCTACTCCCATTTAAATTTTAGCCAGGCACGACACACCTCCCAATACTTGGAAGGTGGAGGCAGAAACCCAGAAATTCAAGGCCTTACACAGCCACATAGCCTGTTCCGGGCCAACCTGGGATATAGGAAACCCTGTCTCAAATAACCGCACACACTCAAGCAGCCAGCCCACTCACCCACCAAACACCAACAAAATAATGGCGAAATTTGCAAATCCCTGGCCTTCGTCTGGCTGGTTTTCTTTTTCCTTTTGTAGTTGTGTGTTGGTGATAACGGCAGTGTGAACAAGAACGCCAACCGTTTCCCAGTAACGTGAAGTTTCTTTTCAAAGAATTGAGAATTTTTAAAAAGAGCGTCTGGAAAGAGCCGGGGACGGCGGCGGGGTCGGGTGGGGGTGAGGGCGGAGGGGGAGTTGGAGAGTGACAGGTGCCAGGGCTGGGGCTTTTCCGGAGCTGGGCCACCCAGAGCTCCTGGCGATCTCAGGAGAAAGACCTGTGGAAGTTGCACTGGAGGTTGGGGGCTGGGGATAGGAGTGGGGCGCAGAACAGTGTGCACTTGCACCCGCACGCTTGCTAATTATTACCGCAGGCTCCTCCCGCTCGGTTGCTCCAGGCTGAGTGTCCCTGAGAACCCAGCCTCCGGAACGAGGCCGAGAACGAACACAGTAGGAGCCTAATAAATGTTTCATAAGATGACGAGTGTGTAAACTCTGCACAAAACTGAGCTCATAACGGCCTCTCTCTTCCATGCTCCCCCTTACCAGGACAACGTTAGCTAGCAACCCACTGTGTTTGTTGATGGACTGAGGGACAGGCGAGAATAAAGACGACACGAGCAAAGGTCTGCAGGTCCGAAATGGGCAGGGACCTCTGGGATTCTGAAATGGAAACAAAACTAAAGAAAACTCAAAGATCTGAGCATGCGCACTGCGCTTTTCCAGCAGACTTCATAATCAGGCCGACGGCAGCCGCTAGGTGCCTCGTTAGCGCAGTAGGTAGCGCGTCAGTCTCATAATCTGAAGGTCGTGAGTTCGATCCTCACACGGGGCACAATGCTTTTGATCTTTTCAGACCAAAAATACCTTTGCTAGAAATGAATTGTATTCTTGTCCAGGTTTGAAAGTTACACGAAGCAGCCCCAGCGCGGAGATTGTCTTTCCCTGGCTGGCACGTCCTAGGTGACCCTGGCCCTGTTGATCCTTACCCTGCCCTTGAGCTAGCAATAATTTTGATCGCTGGGGACGAGGACAGCCCCGGTCTGGGAGCGTGTACAGTTTTGTTGGGTGCTGCGAGCCGTGCGGTGCGAGGGGCCCGGAGCTGGGCGGAGAGCGGTAGACCTGCAGGGGCGGCTGCCAGGCCACCGCGGGTCAAACAGCAAGTTACGTGGGGGTATGTCAAATATAACCCGCTCCACCTTCCCAGCTGCACCCCTGCCCGGGATAACTGCGGCAGGGGGACTCTTCCCAAAGTGACAGCCCTTTTTTAGTGGGTCGGGGGTGGCAGCGTGGGGAGTCTGTCATTTTTCTGGGGTGTGTTTAGCTCAGTGGCCGATTCAGGTACTCCGAGGATAGGCACGGGTTAGTTTCCTGGCTCCCTCCCCTCCCTGGGATTCAAACTTCCCCGGAACACTCCCTGGATCGCCCCAAGCCCCAACTGTAGTGGTCCTCAGTTAGTCGGGTCGTAGTCTAGTTAATCCCTGCCAGGTCTGGGGTTTTCTTTTCCTCTTTTTTTCATTCAATAGAGTCCTTGGGGAAGGCTAACGACGCGGGCCTACAGCAGGTCCTTTCTTAAGCCTCCCTCCCCTTCAGCCAAGAGCTTGCGGGGCTGGGATGCGGGAATTACATACGGTAAGTGGAAACTGAGTCTCAGGTCCAAGGAGTGACTCAGGTTGGGATCTGGGCCGTTGAGACCAGAGTCTTTTTTACTGCATACACCGAGCTACATTTTAGCAATCTGTCTCCTTCGTTCTTAGAGACGACACAGCAGCCAAAGAACCCCATTATTGTCTTGCTGCACCTTGCTACTCATTGCCTACTTGGGGACTTGCAAAGCCCATTGGGTCCCTGCTACCACAGACTACAATTACGGGTGGTGGTGTTTCATACCTTCGCTCTTGGCTAGCAGGGCCACCACGGAGTTTCTCAAGTTGGCGGATGATTTCACATTGGATGCCTGACTGAAGGCCTTTTCAGCTCAGAGCCTGGAGTTGGGAGGTGTGTGGGGTCATGTCATAAACCCACGATTCCGTTCCTAGCTTCCTGAGCTTTGAAGAGCATTGTCTACACCGGGGGTAGAACGTGATACTGTAACGTGCAGCCTTCTTCAGAGCTGACTGGTGTTTTTTGGGTATGGTAGTGTGAGCCTGTCGCCGCATTGCTTTTACAATAAGAGCATTTTTTTTTTTTTTTTTTTTTTTTTTTTTTTTTTTTTTTTTTTTTTTTTTTTTTTTTTTTTTTTTTTTTTTTTTTTTTTTTTTTTTTTTTTTTTTTGGTTTTTCGAGACAGGGTTTCTCCGCAGCTTTTGGTTCCTGTCCTGGAACTAGCTCTCGTAGACCAGGCTGGCCTCAAACTCACAGAGATCCGCCTGCCTCTGCCTCCCGAGTGCTGGGATTAAAGGCGTGTGCCACCACCGCCCGGCTTAATACAATCTTAAAATACACGAATTTGATGCTTGCGTTCTAAGGAATGGCGGTAGGAATATATTAAAAGTCTGATTCTGGAATTAAGCCGTTATTTTTCCAGAAGAACAAAAAAAACTCAGCATGCACAGTAAAAGCCTTGGGATCTATAGCATACAGTAAAAATCTTGAATCGGAGCCCAGATGTCTTAAGCGGTGGTCTTTGGTATTTCATGGCAGGATGTAATGCATGGTGTAAGGTGGAAGCATGTGTCCAGAGCGGAGGCGGCAGTGATGCTGCGCAATGTATGTGGAAAAGCCCCAGAACCACTGTGCATTTGATACCGGACTCGTCTTTGGCTGCTGCATGTGCAGAAACGTCTTGCTGTCGTCGTCAAAGGTTCCTGACCCCCATTCAGTGACAGGATTCCATATAGAGCCGTGACCTACAGCTTACGGAGCTAGGCTCCGTATCAAGCCGGACAAATGTTGGCATCTCAGACTCACCAAACAGAGACCAATATTGAGTCAACTTTGTCAACCAACCAAGAAAGCTGTAGAGCATCTTCCAGCCTGAGCGTTGCTGCTGTGAATCTACACTATTTTAAAAAGTCCAAAAAAGTTAAGTGTAGGAGGAGGGCCTGACAAATTGGCGCCAACGTGGCTATCTAAGTCCACACAAAACCTGAGAAAGCTTAAAAAGGAATTCTAGAAACAAAAAATACAGGGTTTAACACGGCTTCTTGCTGTGTGCTGGCGGTGTGTGGCAGTTTCTTTAAGAGGTCTTACTGATTCAGCGGTAGTAGCTGCGGTTTCATAACAGCTTGCGCCACAGGCTGTAAGTCAAGCAGTGGGCCAGGAACTGCAGACACCTGCTGATTCTCACAGGTCCTGCAGGGATGAAAGGGAGATTGCTGCAGTGGAGCCGTGTAGTCCTGCCTGCTGTCAGCAAGGGCAGGAGAAGCTGAGCCACAGATGGTGCTGTGATGGGTGGGGTCACACAAAGACCCCCACAGTCCAGAAGTGCAGTGCAGGAGGCTGCCATCCAGCCAACCCCACAACTGCAGGGTTCTAACCCCATCCTGCTTGTTGTTGGAGCAAACCCAGTTTTCTTGTTTGTTACTCATGATGGGCGCCCAAGTGTGTGGCAGTCAGAGGACAACTGGGTTCTCTCCTTCCGAAACCTTGTGAGGCCAGGGGCTTGAACTCAGGCCATCAGATCTGGGGCGTGTGCCTGCACTCACTCCGCAGCCTCCCTGACCACGAAGTCCTGCTCTTTATTTATTCTTTATCTTTAAAATACACCCCATCTCATCAGCTAAACACTCTCAAGTCTGTGCTCCTCTTTCTAAGAAAGAAGACAAGCTGGCTTAAAAGTTTCCAAATGCATTTATTGTGAAATACTGTAGATGCCCTTTACAAGCCCAAAGCATTAGAATTCAATAGAAAACATAATTTTATAGACATATTTCTCTATACAAAAGTCTGACCTTTCTAAAAATTTAGAATAAATAATTGAAAAATCAGTGCCATTGATTTAAAAGGTATCCCTTGGGTTGTTTCATGGTGAAGCGCCTTCTATGTCACCAAAAGATGAGGGGGCTGACACCTGTCCCGAGCCTGGGCTGTGAGTCTCTGGCGAAGATTCCGTACTTCCTGGAGAAGATCACGTTCCGTGTGGTTCCATTCTGTTGTTTTCCTACTTGAAAAAGCTTGAATACGAAATTACAGTTATTATCAGTTGAGTTTCCTGATGTACTAATATAGTACTTCCCTTCAGTGGAATTATGTTATAAAAATCAATAACAAAAACCAATATCCTAAAAATGTTTCTTGAACTAACAGCCAGCCATATCACCCAGCTCGACGTGGCTTCATTTCCCACCCAAGCAGCTTTTGTTGCTGTTGCTGAACTGACTGAATGACCGCAGAGAACTCACAGCCTCTGGGCACTGAGCACAGTCCCGTATGAATCAGATACACAGCTGGGCTGGGGGGCTGAGCAACTCTTCAGGACAGCACACATCCCACCATGGTGCTCA